GGACATTGTTTCGTTCTGCTGTGCATGGGGTCGCTATGAGTCGGTTCCGACTCGATGGCACCTGACAACAACAACAACAGACAGACAGTTCTAGTAAAGAAATTAATTCTACCACTTAATGTTAGTTTGAAATTATGTGCCGAAGATGAAAAGCTTTCTGGTGACCAGAAGTATGAGACATCAGAATCAAGCCAGGTTGAAAGATCTCCTTTCTTTACTAACAATAGAGATAACTGTTTAAAAATTTGAAGTATTGCCAATTAAAAAATAATTTAGGAGGCAGGTAAGTTTCTGTGGTGGTTTTACCTTTTTAGGAAATAAGAAAATGCCGAGAATGTTTTAGGTCTCTTCTCTATCAGTTGTTGTTGTTGTTATATGCCATCAAGTTGGTTCTGACCCATAGTGACCCTGTATAGGATTTCCATGGAGCTACTGGTGAGCTTGAACCACTGACCTTACAGTTCAAACCAACTTTTCAGTCCAGTGCATTAACCCATAGTGTCACACCAGAACTCCTATGAGAAAGACTAAATGGCACTAAAGAATAATATGGATTTCTTTGGAGTTTGTCTCAGTTTCCTATGACTAATTTATTTTTTTCTTTTCAGACCAAATTTTCATTTAGCTTGTTCCGGGATACTGGTCATCATTTGATACATAATAATAAAGTAGGAGGAATTATTTCTCCACAGTCCAAACCAGTTTCTAAGAACCTGAAAGAAGATAAAACAATCAAAGAAAAAGATATGGTAAAGAAGGGCAAGGACTGGGGATGTGGTGAGTTGGTGGGAAAGCAGTGTGCATGTTTTATGGTAACTCAGAGGCTTTAACGTTCATTTGGTGAATTGCATCAATTTCGTATGCATTTTGATGCATTGTAATGATCATGTGTCTTACTGCCTTTTGGTTATTGTGAAAACCATAAAAAACTTTAATTTTTGAGATGTGTCCAACTTTTTTTTTTTTTCCAGCAAGCACCTAGTATAAAATCTCAGAGCTCAGATACTCCTCTGGAAGCTGAACCCTCTCTCAACCACAATCCAGAGGGACAGGTAATTTACATATAAAGAATTGAGCAAGGCAGGATGGGAGAATGGAAAATGCTCAGGGCAGGAGGTCTAAGTTACCATCCCACATTTACCGAGTCTACTTTATGACCTTGGGCAAATTGCTTGCTCTTGTTATGACTCTGTAAAATGAGTTGGTTTAAGGTTGTTTCCAGCATTAACATAGTCAATTCCAGCATTGATTAGGTGGAGCATAACAAATTGTGGTCAACATTTTGCAGAATGGGATTTCCAGAACAGTTGTGCTCACAGAGAAGCTATACATAGGCCAGGAAGCAGCCATTCATTCAAAAGAACAGAATACTGCATGGACATAATAAGGAAAGATGTATGTCAGGGTTGTATCTTCACCATATTTATTCATGCTATATACTGAGCAAATACCCCGAGAAACTATACTATAAAAAGTTGAGTGAGTCATTAGAATTGGAGGCAGACTCATTAACATTCTGCGATATGCGTGTGACACAGTCTTGCTGAAAG